AAGTTTGTTTAAAATAAATGTATAAAATACCTGACTGTACAAAGAAGAAAAGGTTAATATATGGCAAGTGAAGGATGTTTATAAATGCAGGGTTTGAATTTTGAACAGAATAGTTAACATCGTACTGGCAGGGTTTGAATATGTTTTGGGTGCCTACACAGAAAATCATACTAATTTAGTACCTAATCTGGTAATCTACATGATGTTGAAGGCTTGTATTCCTCGAAACTAAAGGTAAAAACATCACACTAGAAATGTGCAGTGGTATGTAATGATTTCCTTTACCTTCTCTATTCATTTTCTAGATTTTTCCTTATCCTGACTCATGCTTATTGCTCACCTCATGAGTCAGGATAGGTATAAAATATCAATTTTATTCAGAAAATTACATATTTTTCCCTATCCTGACTCATGAGGTAAGCAATAAGCATGAGTCAGGATAAGTATAAAATATCAATTTTATTCAGAAAATTACATGTTTATAATGGTTCTCTCTGGCAGCTGTTTCAGTTGATTGACGCGTGCTGCCATGCCATTTTTACCAGAGGTGGACACTGAATGTTTTTAAACAAACATCTCTACCAATGCATATTTCTATTCTTATTGGAGCACTTAAATTTCAATGGGTAAGCCTAGGCATTTTAACACAGAAGGTTTCTTCATTCAGACTAATATTACTTGCTTGCCTCCCCCTCTGCCTCAAACATTTCTGTATTGTGTTCGCCAAGAACAGAAAAAAAACATCTCACCTGAATGCACCCCTCTCCTGAGCATACACACAGGCCCCCACATGACCAGCCAGTAACTCATCACTCTCTGCATTTTCGCCCAACGGGATGGTAGAGGAAATTTTCTTTTGTGTTAATCCAAGCCATTCTATCAAAATTATTAACTTTTTTCAAAATGTTTGGCTTGGATTGTCTTTATTAATCTTTGGTACATCATATCTACAAGGTATTCTTTGGTGGTTAATTAGTGAAATTTTTAGACATAATTACACCCCATATCTTCTTCATGAAAAACACCCCATATCTTCTTCATGAAAAACACCCCATATCTTCTTCATGAAAAACACCCCATATCTTCTTCATGTTCAATTTATAAACAAGTGTCGGGATCCACACCCAATTTGTTTATCATGTGTCCCGTAACATTACAATATAGACAGTAAATCCAGTTTATTGTGTCTCCATGGGGGATTAGAAGTTAGCAGATACTATCATGTCTATGGACAGCCTCAGACCTTCACACAGCTGCTAGCCTGCACACAGCCTCAGACATTCATGCAACTGCTTGCCTGCACACAGCCTCAGACCTTCATACAGCCTCAGACCTTCACACAGCCTCAGACCTTCACACAGCTGCTAGCCTGCACACAGCCTCAGACATTCATGCAACTGCTTGTCTGCACACAGCCTCAGACCTTCATACAGCCTCAGACCTTCACACAGCCTCAGACCTTCACACAGCCTCAGAATTTCACACAGCCTCAGACCTGAGCACAGCCTCAGACCTTCACACAACCTCAGACCTGAGCACAGCCACAGACTATAAAGCAGCATAGAATTCTTCCCGGTTGGATGTAATAGCTAACATTACTTACATATACTACATCAACAACAACGTCATCAAGAGTTTGATGCATTCCACACCCTTGACGTCAGTGGTGGACAATTGTTCTAAGCATTTGTCAACAGCACCAAAACTAAAGGCTTCATTTTTGGTTGAAGACAAAGATGTAATTGAACCGTTAGTCAGTGAAGATTCAGTGCAAGATGACAAGAATTTATGAAGATCATGAGGTTTTGGTATGGATTGCTGATGTAATTTCCAATTGCTTTACCTTTTGAAGGGTTTATCTCCTGCTGATACATATTGTATCAAAGGTGAAGACATGGACATGCTACTGTACTACCCATAAAGTCTACTTTTAAACTTATCTTATCTGACTTTATGCACTTATATTGTTCTTTTGACCCTGGAGTGGAAGTTACCTGAAACAAAGTTTTCAGCCCTTAGTATCACCTCACTTGACCACATCTTAGTTCAGTCTGTTGTTGTTGGCAGTCACTGTAAGCTCATCCAAAGTTTCCCTCTTGCCCAGGTTGATCATGTGACTAGCTTACATCATTTCTTTCTCTGCAGTCCACCTGTCTGATATAGAGATTCTATTTTCTATTACATCTCTTGAATACCTTCAAATATTGGGATTTTGTTTCATCTTGAAAAAGAAAAGAAGATATGAGAAACTGTAGAAAGAGTAAAAGAGATGACTAGTAAAAGAAAGATAAAGATATATTGAAGAGGATTGGTTCAGACATGCAGCACACCCAAGAGGACAGTTTGTGCTAGATGTAACAGACTTTTTCATCACACTTCACTCATTCATCTAGCATTGATTGTATCAGAATCTGTTTTGGGGATAAAGGTTGCAATGCCCTGTAATTGTCTTGACACTTATAGGAAGGCCAGCTCTCAAAGTATGAAGGACAGAGACTATAAGTCACATTCAGAAGATTTTGTCCTGTCATCAAAAAGGAACCCTTTATGAAGATACCCCCACCGATGACACATTCTTGGATACTTCCCCAGACTCTTATCATAGCAAGAACCTTAGGTGTCTCGTCATCCAATCCTCCGACACCCATCGTGTCAGTCCCTTAGAGAGTGTTAGTTGTGAGAAGATCGCCATGGTTCATCGAGCATCCTAGAATCGTCAATCCATTCATCTCCTCACTGATCCCCCAAGTTGTTCTGTTGTGCAGTTTGGAAATCCCTCCTACTCCGGGGTCAACAATCACTATGATCTCTTTGTTTTTCCCGTCTTCATCGATCATGTCTATCGTTAGAACCTCAGTTGACAATCCCTTTTCCTTCATCTATGATCCAGCAGCAGTCTATCCTAGATCATCGTGAAGTGAGTTATGGCAGCTCCACATGGCAACTGCTCCCTCGCATCTATTACAGAAGGTTGTTTCTGGCGATACCGTCTTTGCTAACCACTATCTCGGAGAATTCAGAGGTGTTGTTTACATCCATCAGTTTGGTCCATTAGTGGTAGCACAACAACTGACAGTCCCTACAAGGAGATAACAACTCACCCAATATCACATACACTCATAGAAGTTACTGTTTTACTAAGTGTTTCAGGACATGCATGATATGATTCAGTCAAGTTTACGACCTGTTCTTATCATTTGCATTGTCCTTGAACAAGCAAGAATCCAATTCTATGCAAGTCTAACAAATCCACACAATTTAAGATATTTTTCTTTTACTCTAAAAAGAAGGTGGTACCCCACTAATTAGAATATAAGAAGAATAGAAGTTTCAATTTCCCAAAGAGTTATCTGAACATAACACAGAAAGTTGCCATTCTATCTCAGGCAGAGGAAGAGACAAGCAATTTTGATTAAGTATTCAATAATATTTTTACTCTAGAAAATGCATTTTTGATCTCTGAAATGAAATTAGCATTATTTCTATAACGAGGATAGGTTCAGAGTTTGGTGTGTCAACTGGAAATGTATAAAACCATTAAAGGGTTTGTGTCCTGTCATGTTAAGAATGGAATTATACCCCATTGCTAAACATTCCTCGGGTATCAGACTCTACCCTCCTCTGTGACAAGTCATCAGACTGAGGCACTCTCAATGTACAGGACATTAGATTCACACACTGTCAGGCTGTACAACTCTGTGGCTATACATAGGATCAGATTCACACTTCTCTGGTGCCATACTTGGCTTGAGACACACTTATCTCTGTCTATACTTGGCATGAGACTCACCTACTCTCTTTCTATACTTGCCTTGAGACTCACCCATTCTTTGCCATACTTAGCATCGGACTCACCCATTTTCTGGCTATAGATGACATCAGACTCATGCTCTTGCTTTGGCTGTATTTGGCATCAGACAAACCATTCTCTGGCTATACTTGGCTTCAGACAAACCATTCCCTGGCTATACTTGGCATCAGACAACCCATTCTATGCTACACTTTTCCATCAGACATTGTAAACCAAAAGTCACTGTGTTCTTTAATCTGATTGGTTGAAGAACGTGATCAAATGGTATTCGATTCCCGGAAATTCACTGCGTATTAATACATGCAAACATCGCTCACACCATTGTATTGTTACGTCGTCAGCTGTGATGACGTCATTAAAATCATATTGTGACGTAGAGTCGAATGACGTCACAAATGAGCAGCTCCAGATGCTACCATGGGAAACAGCCGAAACAGCCGGCTGATGACATTTCACTGCTGTACCCGTACTCGATGTCATTGAGTGCAGACACAAAAACGTGTGTGGACCTTTTGGTTTACTTTTGTGTTAACAATGTCGATAAAAATCATGTGTTGGCCAATTTCCGGGTGTTATTGAGTATTTGAAGCACGGGAATATTTCATTTGAAACCTCCAGCTGACGCCGTCGGTTCCAAATGAATTCCCGTGCTTCAAATACTCATTGTAAACCAAAAGTCACTGTGCTCTTTAATCTGATTGGTTGAAAAAACGTGATCAAATGGTATTCGATTCCCAGAAATTAGCTGCATATTAATACATGCAAACATCGATCATACGATTGTATTGTTACGTCGTCAGCTGTGATGACATCATTAAAATCATATTGTGACGTAGAGTCGGAATGACGTCACAAATGAGCAGCTCCAGATGCTACCATGGGAAACAGCCGAAACGGCCGGCTGATGACATTTCACTGCTGTACCCGTACTCGATGTCATTGAGTGCAGACACAAAAACGTGTGTGGACCTTTTGGTTTACTTTTGTGTTTACAATGTCGATAAACATCATGTGTTGGCCAATTTCCGGGTGTTATTGAGTATTTGAAGCACGGGAATATTTCATTTGAAACCTCCGGCTAAAGCCGTCGGTTCCAAATGAATTCCCGTGCTTCAAATATGGGAATTAATTCCCGTGCTTCAAATACGGGAATTAATTCCCGAGCTTCAAATACTCAATAACACCCGGAAATTGGCCAACACATGATGTTTATCTCCTAAATAACACCCGGAAATTGGCCAACACATGATGTTTATCTCCTAAATGCATTCTCTGGCTATACTTGGCACTAAAAAACCCATTCTCTGGTTATACTCGGCATCAGACTCACACTCTTGCTCTGGCTATACTTGGCATCAAAAAACCTATTTTCTGGCTATACTTGGCATCAAACAACCCATTCTCTGGCTATACTTGGCTTCAGACAAACCATTCCCTGGCTATACTTGGCATCAGACAACCCATTCTTTGCTACACTTTTCCATCGGACAATGCATTCTCTGGCTATACTTGGCACTAAAAAACCCATTCTCTGGTTATACTCGGCATCAGACTCACACTCTTGCTCTCGCTATACTTGGCATCAAAAAACCTATTTTCTGGCTATACTTGGCATCAAACAACCAATTCTCTGGCTATGCTTGGCTTCAGACAAACCATTCCCTGGCTATACTTGGCATCAGACTCACCCATTATGACTTGTGTTCTAGTTTCAACAAGAAAGAGGAAGACTTCAGTTCCTTGAGGGATTACAATGACTATCTGGAGATGATTGAAACAATAGGTAAACACATATTTTTGTCACTTTGGTTTTAACCAGTAATTCAGATATCACTTCTTTTTTCTAAATATGCGCTATTCCAAATCGATATAATACTGCTTTTCTGTTTACCTATAAGCATGTTTATGCATCTTAGCCTTTTGTGTAAGTATTGATTTCAGTTTATTAACTTTAGTGGTACTGAAATTATTCTTCCATATAACTAGGCGTGTAATGTCTCCCTTAGGTGCCCAGTGACAGCAGAACAGAGTGTCTTGAAGGCAAATGTCGGATGTGTACTCCATATCTTTGCACTCTCCTGTTTTTCTGCTTGTCCGGTGAGGTTATCTCTGGCTGGACTATCTCCTCTTATTACACATACAACACAAGAATGAAGTTTAACTTATTTTCTCTGGTTAATTAGTAAAACCTACATACTTCCTGTCTGCTGCCTACGTATAACTTCAGCAACCAATTCTTTAATACATGTAATTAAACAAAACTTAAATAATTAAAGATTTTAACCACTCCTCTAACTTAATACCCAAAATAGAATATCACCCAAATACACCTTCTCAATCTTAATCTAGTTCTCCCCCATCCATTGCTTTCATTCTTCTAAGATTTATCCCTGAAAAGCATAAAATATAAAGGTCTTGCTGCGAGACACAAGAGTTGCCTAATCCTTACGAGATACTGGAAGAGGGATGACTCATGATTCCCTACTCAGGTACACTTACATAGGTGACTCTGAAAATCACACAACCACTCTCGTTGCTCTTTACATCTCCCAATAAACAGGTGTGGTGAGATGAAATTGGGTTTTACGTCATGCTTGAGAATATTTTGCTCATGTGACGACGTGCATGTGTGTGTATGTGTATGTGCGGCTGCTTGTATTAGCCCACACTTTAGCTGGTTTTATAGTGCTAGCCCACTGAGATACCATGCTGCAGTGAAGCATGAATACCCCACTCAGACACATTATATTGACTCCGAGCCAACCAGTCCTTGTTATACCCATTAATGCCGAGCGTCAGGCAGGGACCAACAAGTGCCATATTTTAACATCTTTTGGTATGACGCGTCCGGGATCGAACCCGCAACCTTCTGCTCTCAGGGCGGACGCCTACAATAAACAGTCACATCGGTCTTAGCCTGTTTACCTACCTTGTGTCATTGTTCATAACTAACCTTTCCTTGCGCGAATAAAGGCAAATGCATTCACATCTTGCCATTGCTGGCCAGTGATGCATTGTGCTAGTGGGTAGGTACTGGTCCATCTGACAATTTTTATTTTTGTGTAATTTCCAACTCTGCTTTGGAGAAAATGGTGAGATACAGTTGTTCTATCTACCTGTGGATGACTTGAGATGTTTGTCCTGTATCACATCACTTGTTAGTGCCCCAGTGGCCAGGCCTTAAAGTGACATCTTTAACTCTGACATGACTTACAATACCTGGACACACCAACATTGTAGGGCATATCATTTGGCTGCACAATCAAAACACATGTATGGGTTGTTTCAAAAACAGTTTGCTTTCCATTCTTTTTCACCTTTTGGAAATACCCGTTTCACGAAGACTGGAGCTCAGGAACAATGAAAATTAAGTTGTTGCTGTCTTTATGTGCATTTGTGATACAGAAATCAGATCTGCAGGTCTGAATGCTTTGGTAACTCAGAGAATTTCAAAGCCAATTTGCTGATTGACTGATAAAAAGCATCTTATCCAAGTTAACAACTTGTATGTTATGATATTGTACGGTGATACTGGTAACAGAGGCAGATCAATGCCTCAATATGGCCTTACTCATGTTTGTCAACAATGGTGTAGTTTGCTTGTATGTCAAATATTGTTTATCTTTCTTTGGGGAGCAGTTTTCAATCTGACCAATGGTATTGATGTTGAGAGCACACGAAAGATGATAGAACAGTACAGGAAGGACAACAAAGATCAGATCAAGAAAAACCTGTCAAAAATGGTAAACAAGTTGGTTTTTTAGTTCTTTCTAACAGTGACATCAGTACCTTGCAGTGTAAACATACTTCAGTACCTTACTCCAGTGTAATATACATCAGTACCTTACTGCAGTGTAGTATACATCAGTACCTTACTGCAGTGTAATATACATCAGTACCTTACTGCAATGTAATATACATCAGTACCTTACTGCAGTGTAATATACATCAGTACCTTACTGCAGTGTAGTATACATCAGTATCTTACTGCAGTGTAATATACATCAGTACCTTACTGCAGTGTAGTATACATCAGTACCTTACTGCAGTGTAATATACATCAGTACCTTACTGCAGTGTAGTATACATCAGTACCTTACTGCAGTGTAATATACATCAGTACCTTACTGCAGTGTAATATACATCAGTACCTTACTGCAGTGTGCAGTAGTATACATCAGTACCTTACTGCAGTGTAGTATACATCAGTACCTTACTGCAGTGTAGTATACATAAGTACCTTACTGCAGTGTAGTATACATCAGTACCTTACTGCAGTGTAATATACATCAGTACCTTACTGCAGTGTAATATACATCAGTACCTTACTGCAGTGTAATATACATCAGTACCTTACTGCAATGTAATATACATCAGTACCTTACTGCAGTGTAGTATACATCAGTACCTTACTGCAGTGTAATATACATCAGTACCTTACTGCAGTGTAATATACATCAGTACCTTACTGCAGTGTAATATACATCAGTACCTTACTGCAGTGTAGTATACATCAGTACCTTACTGCAGTGTAATATACATCAGTACCTTACTGCAGTGTAATATACATCAGTACCTTACTGCAGTGTAGTATACATCAGTACCTTACTGCAGTGTAGTATACATCAGTACCTTACTGCAGTGTAGTATACATCAGTACCTTACTGCAGTGTAGTATACATCAGTACCTTACTGCAGTGTAATATACATCAGTACCTTACTGCAGTGTAGTATACATCAGTACCTTACTGCAGTGTAGTATACATCAGTACCTTACTGCAGTGTAATATACATCAGTACCTTACTGCAGTGTAGTATACATCAGTACCTTACTGCAGTGTAGTATACATCAGTACCTTACTGCAGTGTAGTATACATCAGTACCTTACTGCAGTGTAGTATACATCAGTACCTTACCGCAGTAGTATACATAGTATCAGTACCTTACTGCGGTGTAGTATACATCAGTACCTTACTGCAGTGTAGTATACATCAGTACCTTACTGCAGTGTAGTATACATCAGTACCTTACTGCAGTGTAGTATACATCAGTACCTTACTGCAGTGTAGTATACATCAGTACCTTACTGCAGTGTAGTATACATCAGTACCTTACTGCAGTGTAGTATACATCAGTACCTTACATCAGCAGTGTAGTATACATCAGTACCTTACTGCAGTGTAGTATACATCAGTACCTTTACTGCAGTGTAGTATACATCAGTACCTTACTGCAGTGTAGTATACATCAGTACCTTACTGCAGTGTAGTATACATCAGTACCTTTACCGCAGTGTAGTATACATCAGTACCTTACTGCAGTGTAGTATACATCAGTACCTTACTGCAGTGTAGCATACATCAGTACCTCAGTGTAGTATACATCAGTACCTTACTGCAGTGTAGTATACATCAGTACCTTACTGCAGTGTAGTATACATCAGTACCTTACTGCAGTGTAGTATACATCAGTACCTTACTCAGTGTAGCAGTATACATCAGTACCTTACTGCAGTGTAGTATACATCAGTACCTTACTGCAGTGTAGTATACATCAGTACCTTACTGCAGTGTAGTATACATCAGTACTTTACTGCAGTGTAGTATACATCAGTACCTTACTGCAGTGTAGTATACATCAGTACCTTTACTGTAGTATACAGTGTAATATACATCAGTACTTTACTGCAGTGTAGTATACATCAGTACCTTCAGTACCTTACTGCAGTGTAGTATACATCAGTACCTTACTGCAGTGTAGTATACATCAGTACCTTACTGCAGTGTAGTATACATCAGTACCTTACTGCAGTGTAGTATACATCAGTACCTTACTGCAGTGTAGTATACATCAGTACTTTACTGGTGATATTTCAGAGTAAAGACCAGGAGTACCTTGACCAACTGATTGAGCAGGAGAAACATGACACAGCAGTTCGAAAGCAAATGATTGAGGAAGAGGCCGCTAGGGATAAAGCTTTCAAGAAGAAGAACAAGGCTGCCCTGATAGATGAACTGGTGGGTACTGAAACTTTCTACGGAAGGTGAAGGCCAGCTATTTTGTATAGCAAGTGTGTTTCAGATCCAATTCTGCCTTGCCTCCATACTGTATTTAACACATGATGTATTTCAACATAGATACTGCCAGAGTGTAGTGCTTGTGTTAATGATCATAACTTTGGCTATTGTAGATGTTTTCTGACTTGTCTGCCACGGACATCGTGGCCACCCACAGAGAATGTGTGAACCAGCTTGAGGCAGCAAGCCGTGCATCCGCTCCCACCACCTTCTCCACCGGGATTAAGATAGTCAGTATATGCTTTATCTTTACGTTTTTTTAACCTTGATATAAACATACATTGCACTATTGAAGCATTCAAATTTTTCCTTATCCTGACTCATGCTTAATTGCTTGTGTCTTTCTTCTTGTGAATGATATTGGAACACTTGAATCCCCTTTGAAGCTCCCTTAAAAAAAGCGGATGTAAAATCACTCACCCAGTTTTATCTCCCTTGTGACTTTTGGCGGGAAAATGTGTCACATGATCAGACATGCCCCTCACTCTCTCCTTCTTCGCCCTTGAGGACGGTTGTGAGAGTGCCTGGGTCCCCTATACAGCGTTATATCCTTTAATTTTGAGGCCTTTGCTACTAAATTAGCTGTATACGGTTTTAGGATTGATATACCAACAATATGGTTTGAAATTTTGTCAAAATTATCTGTATTTGTTCACGTTGTTGACATGTGTTTTCATCGTGTTTAAACAAACTGATTGCGTTTATAACCGTTTGTTGTTGCCTACTGACATTCACCATTCTAGTGGTTTACCGGCTGCGTCTACGGAGCAGGTCGCTGTGACTGATGGCAGCTCCGGCTCCAAGAAGAGGTAGTCTACATCAACTATAACTTCATCGCAGTCGAAGAAGACGAGGGCATCGTCTTCCCAGAAGAAGAAATCGTCTACTAACAAGACTCCGGCGAAGTCTTCACATGGGGCAGCGCTTAAGACGAGGTCTTTTGCTACAGAGATCATCCCAGCAGATGAGCCACCCATCCTCATCCCTGAAGTGCCAGTGAGGAAGAAAACGAGGTCTTCATCTACAGTAACATCAGCAGTCATCTCAACGCAGTCAGACGTTTCATCAACGCAGACATCAGATAGAGATGGCAGTTCGTCACAAGTGGAGCAGTCCTTGGGAGAAGTCTCGGTACTCTCAGATGCATCGTCTGCAGTGCAGCAGCAGCAGTAGTCGTCGCAGAGCTTCAACCCCAGGGTCTTCATGCAGCAGTTTACACAGCAGATGTTGGACCTGATGGAACAGAGGTTCGCACAGGAGAAAGCAGCGGCGGAGGCCCCATCCACATCGAGCCTGCGCGAAGGTCAAGCAGCCTGCAGATCACATCCCACCGATGACAGCAGCCTGCGCGAAGGAGGAAGCATGCGCGAAGGAGGAAGCCTGCGCGAAGGTGGAAGCATGCGCGAAGGAAGAAGCATGCGCGAAGGAGGAAGCCTGCGCGAAGGCGGAATCCTGCACGAAGGAGGAAGCATGCGTGAAGGAGGAAGCATGCGCGAAGGCGGAAGCATGCGCGAAGGATCGCACACTCTACGACGTACTAGGACACCTTCACCGAAGGTGCATTTGCGAAGGAACAGAAACAGACGTTCACCGGAGAATCGCAGATCATCCTCCTCTGATATGGACAGCCATCAGGAGCCTTCGCGACTGCACCATAGAAGAGAATCTACACCTTCGCAAAGGCACAGAGATACATCTCCGCGCAGGTTTCCACGCAGGTCTCCACGCAGATCTCCACGCAGGAAAGAGACAGAATGGCAACCATCTCCAGAACTAGAAGCCTCTAAATCCGAAGATGATGGGGAATTATATTTTCCGATACAGAAATTAAATCCTGGATGTCTAACGAGGACTTCGATACACTTACTCTTCCACCCATCGATCCTGTCACAGATGTACCAGGAAACCTCAGCACAGCCTTCAGGAAGGCAATGAAGTGCCAGAGTCAGAGCGTCCCACCATTCAACGCCAAGAAATTCTCTCTTCACCACATGGAACCCTTCACAAAGGCCCCAGAGGTAGATGAGAACTACAAGATCATCAACGACTCCCGAGCCAGGACTTACAAAGTGGAAGATAAGAAGTTGGCACAACTAGACACAACTACCAGATGTACCTTCTTTGGCTTAACCAGGTCAAGAGCCATCAACGAAACTCTCATCGAGAAGGTTAGGAACTCGACCTCGGAAGAAGATAGAATGATCTACTCGGCATTACTAACCCAGAAGAAAGATCATCATTTCATGTCTGAACATCTGGCATCTACATCAGCAGGACTGACACTATTAATAAGACAAGGATTGCTGTCTTCCTGTACGTGGAGTGAATGCTTCACCAAGTCACTATACAGAGCTCCGTGGTCAGCACCATCTATCTTAGCAGGGGAAATTGAGGATGTGGCCAAGGAAGTAACGAAAGAGTCAAGGGAGGTAATGATGATCAAGTCCATCGACACACTAGCCAGTGTTATCCATCAGACCTCGCAACGCTACTCTGGCAAGTCGAAAGTTTACAGGAATACAAAGAGCCAGGGAAAAGAAATATGGCAGATCCTGAGGAGGCAAGGATTCTTTTCATCGCCCAACCGGAGCTCCCAGAGGTAACCCCAGAAGAGGCAGGGCATCCAGAGGTGCCAGGAACTTTAGACGCTGAAGGACCCCCAGCCGTTCCCATACAACCTTTAACAGTGGGTCGACGTCTACAACCCTATTGGAAGAATTGGGGAATTCTTCAGGACTTCTATGTATCCCAGATCCTACACAGAGGATACAAGATGTAACTACTAGCAGTACCACCATTGACAAGCTACTCTCTGGCCCACAATTATGCTGCCGACCAGAGGGAGAATCCACTCGACGCTATCACAACTCTACTCGAGAAGGAGGCGATCAAAGAAATAAAACAGGAGTTCGTCACGCCCGGTTTTTACTCCCCAATCTTCTTAGTACCAAAGAAAAGTTCCGACTTATATACAACATGAGGAAATTCAACCAAGATTATCTACGCAGTCCCGTAAAGTTCAGAATGATACATCTGCCTCAACTGCGACAACTCGTACGTCCATTAGACTACCTCGCCAGCATAGATCTACAGGATGAGTATCTTCACATCCCGATTCATCCAGACTCAAGGAAATACCTACGATTCCTCTTCAACGGACGTCACTTCCAATGGAAGGTGCTACCATTTGGAATATCGTCGGCCCCCTGGTTGTTTACTCAAGTGACAAAGTCAATCATCTCAATTCTCTACATCATCGAGGTCTACGCAGTGCGTTTTACCTGGACGACGGGGATTCAAGCTCATCAAGATCCCAGTCAACTCAGACTGCAACTAGTCTTCACAATCAGGCTGCTCACACAACTAGGATGGCTAGTAAATCTCCTCAAATCGGAACTAGAACCCACACAGGATCTGCAATTCCTAGGAATACGGTTCATCACATCGCAGAATCGCATAGTCGTCCCAAAAGAGCTTTGGGTCAAGAAACAACAAATGATATCTCAAGCACTATTCTCTCCGTTACCACTACGAAGTTGGCAGAGCCTACTTGGTCTCCTCACGTCAGCACAAGACATGACACGCAGAGGTAGACTACATCTGCGCACACTACAAGTGTTCGTGAAAGCTCATCTAGACAGTCCGGACTCCTTCGGACTTTCGGACGGACTGAAACCATATCTCCTATGGTGGACTCGGAAGTCAAATGTTTGCGGAGGAACCTACTTATCAGAGCCAGAGTACAACACTCATCTCTACGTAGATGCATCACTTCAAGGATGGGGAGCCCACCTCAACAACGAGGTGGCAGCAGGGAAATTGTCGAGTCAGGAGCAAAATCTGCAAATCAACATGCTCGAGATGAAAGCAGTCATAAACACCTTACTACATTGTTCCAGCATACTAAGGAACGCACAACTGATGATCCATACGGACAACTCCACAGTGGCGTTCTATGTCAACAAACAAGGATCAACAAGATCAAAGAATCTACTAGATCTCAGCTTTCATCTGTTCAGCATAATAGACAATTTGAACATCGACGTGAAAGCATGTCACATTCCCGGAGCCAAGAATGTGATAGCAGACGCCCTATCTCGTCCAACACAACCATCCCCAACGGAATGGATGTTACACCCAGAATCATTCAGATGCATCATACAGAGGATAGGATCTCCACTGATAGACCTGTTTGCTACAAGGTTCAACAAACAAATACCAACATATGTCTTTCCGGTTCCGGATCCACAAGCATGGGCAACAGATGCTCTAAGCATCTCCTGGGAAGGATTAAACGCATACGCGTTTCCACCTCCAGCTCTAATACCGCACACAGGGACGTGTCACGCTTAGAAACAGCGTTAGAAAGACATATAGGTATATAGACCTTACCCTAGAACTATATAAAAGGAAAGAGATGTAACGACGGAACCACACCCTCCTCAATCAAAGTTAGATTTCACCATGTAAACTATTTTTCAGGCCCCGTCGAGGCCTACGGATCGAAAGCGAGATGATTTCCCTACAAAATGAGCTATAAATGGTCACAATCGGATCATTATTTCAAAAGTTATATGCCACGACTCACCGAAAACAGCTACCTCCGCAATTCCAAGCCAAAATCAAGACAGCGAAAACTCACCTGTTAAATTCGTTTATTAATTCCAGTCACGTTGACAGCACCTATGTAGGGCTAGATTCGATTGGCAGCGGCATTCCAGGGGTCTAAAAACTTATTGCAACATCTACAAATCATTTCCTCGACAATAAGCAGGCATTTTCTCCAAAACCATCGGCAATCATACTCACTTGTTTTCGGTGAGTCGTGGCATATAACTTTTGAAATAATGATCCGATTGTGACCATTTATAGCTCATTTTGTAGTGAAATCATCTCGCTTTCGATCCGTAGGCCTCGATGGGGCCTGAAAAATAGTTTACGTTGTGAAATCTAACTTTGATTGAGGAGGGTGTGGTTCCGTCGTTACATCCCTTTCCTTTTATATAGTTCCAGGATAGGGTCTATATACCTATATGTCTTTCTAACGCTGTTTCTAAGCGTGACACGCCCCTGTGATACCGTAGGTATTGCAGAACATAAAGCAGACGAAGAACCTGCAACTGATTTTAGTTGCGCCCTACTGGCCAGTGAGGGTGTGGATTCCCATCCTCATACAAGAACTCGGAAATCCAACCCTACAACTTCCAGAGTGGCCGAACCTACTATTTCA